GTAAGGCCATAACTTCATTCTTAAAGAACAAGAGTTCAGGAGCTTGAATCATGTGTTTCCCACAGTACAATTTAAGCTGGCCCTCTTCCAGGTGTTTCTGGTAGAAACCACAGTGCTGTGTACATATCAGGTGTTGATGGTACTGTGGAGGACTGATGCTGGCCAGCCTTCTGGCGCCTGTTACACAAATGGAATGCAAATACTGTGAGGCAGAAAAGCTACACACCCTGGCTTCGGTTCAGCCTTTGCCCAGTTGTTTACTGAATGGTTAGGTGGGCAGTTCTGAGCCAGGTATAGGGAAGAAGATGGCTCAGGGCTTGGGAATGAGTATGGCCAAACATGAACATATGAGGAGTGTGGGCTTAGAGTCAATGTGGGGGGCATGTGTGTGGTGTGTGGGGGTGTGTGGTGTCTGTGTGTGGTGTATGTGGTGTGTGTGTGTGTGATGTATGGTGTGTATGTATGTGCTGTGTGAATATGATGTGGGGTGTGGGGTGTGTATGTGGTGTGTGAGTGTTGTGTGTGTTGGATGTGGTGTCTGTGTGTGGTGTATGTGGTATGTGTGTGATATGTGGTGTGTATGTGTGTGCTGTGTGACTATGTATGTGTGCGTGTAGAGTGTGAATGTGGTATGTGTTTGTGTGTTGTGTATATGATGTGTGTTGGGGAGGTATGTGATGTATGTCTAGTTGGAGCTACGTGGTGAATCTATCTCTGGGAAGCAAAGGACCTAGCCTTGTCTGAATTCTACCTACCTTTCTCTTCCTCCTTCTAAAAATCATGCAGTAGAATAGAAGAATTAGAATTAGAAACCCAACTTTTAAATCACAAGAGACAGAAGAGGCGATTGAGGGCAGATGGTTCAGGGCAGTTCCAACAATGGGTTAAATAAGGATGTTTGAGTTTGTGTTTCTCATCTATGAAAAAGCAACTGTGGTCTCACCAGATTGCATTTGTGTCACCTAGGGTGACATTGTACAGAGTCCTGGAGGGGAGGCAGAGACAACAGTCCTTGCTTAGATGGGGAAGGAGTTCAATAATCTTATTAGACTTTATTTTAATTAAAACCATATGTTTGTCAGGCAGGCTCCCTGAGGATTATCAGCCACCACTGTGCTCTGAGACCAAGTAGGTCTTTATGGTCACAGGCTGAGGACCCCAGCCTCAAATCCCAGTCACTGATCCTTCAGTACAATCCAAAGAGGGATTGAATTACACCTTCTGTGCTCTCTCCCTTTTCCAATCCCAGTCTGCTTGTGTTACCCATGACCCATTCCACTTCCTGCTACAATCCTGAGAGCACGTGCTCTGTGACCAGGGCAAAGCACTCATCCATGCACTTTCCAAAGTGTTCAAATTGGACTTCTTTCTAGAACCTCATCTCGCAAAGAGGAGCTGGTTCTTCACAGTAAAGGGATCACTGTGTGCTCTGCCAATCAGACAGACCCCAGCTTGCTCAAGTCTGTTGACATGCCATTGAAGTCATGGAGCAGAATCAGTTGGAGCTGGAGTATGTCGGGGAAAAGGCTTGTACCCTGGTGTGCCACAGCATCCAGGTGGCTTGTGATGGCCTTCCACGCCAGAGGCCAGCACCACCGCCCTGGACACTTTCCTTTCAGCCACCATGTATTCCCGCTGTCCTGTTTCTGCTCTGTTGTCAGACCATATGCCATGATTTCAGTCCACTCAACTCAATTAGTAGCAGCCCTCAGGGCACTCTGGTTGAGAACTGGCTGAAGCTGGCCAGGTACTGCTAAGGCACTCTCAGACACGGAGACTTTTCGCCACTGCCTCCTTGGGGGTGGGGATGGGGGGCACAGTTTGGCCTCTGTAACACAGGAGACTGAGAGGAAGCAGAAAATGTGGGTATTCAGAGTGCTATGCCCATCCTGAGTGTGTGGAGGAACTAAGCAGAGGAGAGCATAGCCGTGTGGGGCGCAAACAGCTCTTGACTTCTAAAATTACCAGCGAGCCCCAGTCTCCCAAGGTATCATAAGTACTGGTGTCCTTTTTGAGGTGCCCCACAGGTCTGGCCCCATGTATCCTTCAAGGTGTTCAAAGGGGTCAGTGAATGGAGCATCAGACACATTGGAGGAAAGGACTCTGTGAGGCAGGATGTCGGCCTAGAGGCAGACACACTGAACAAAAGATTGGCATAGGGCTGCAGCTGGGGCAGGTAGGTGGGGGGGGGGGCTGGAGGAGGTGGCTCCACTGGCAGAATCTGGTAGGTGGTGTTCACTTTGACCCGAGGCAATGGAAGGGAAGCGTTACATCAGAGGTCTTCAAAGTGGGCGTGCAGAATCCACTGGAATGCAAAGGAAAATTGAAGCTTTTTTTTGGTTGCTGTTGTTTATAAGTCTCCTTCACTTACAGTATTCACTAACTAGATCCACACAGGCACCCTTACTCAGTCCATGATGAGGTGTCCCAGTGCAGGCATGAGGGATGAGGCTCTGCAAACCAGAGAAGGAAGGATGGGCATCCTCTCTGGTTCAGTGCTTTCAAGTACAGTAGAATGTCATAGAAATGACTTCTATCTCAGCAGTGGATAGACAGCTTATACTACCTGATTCTACTGGAGCTATTATCATAAAAGAGACAAGTGCTTTGAAAAGGTTCCTGCAGAGATACTCCGAGATTGAAAATAGTATGAACAGCAATTTCAGAAAAAATGGCAGTTAATAAATTCCTATGAATCTCTCTCTCCCCCTCCCTTCCCTCCTCTCCCCCCTCCATCCCCCCTCACCAACTGAATCCAGGGTGTTGTGTACACTAGCCAAGTGCTCTACCATTGGGTTATGTCCTCAACCCTAGAAATCTCCTTTGAGGCTCTTAATAGTAAAAGGCAAAATATCAGGCCACATCCTTGGAAAAAGCAGCCATTCTGTTTGCCGTGATTAAAATGACAACAACTGAATTAGTGCAGAGAGAAGGTGGCCATACATAAAAGGTGCTGCATTGAAAGACACAGGGAAAACATTGTGCAAGATTTGAAGAAAAAGATTGAGAACACATGATGTGTTATGGAGGCTGGTTATAGGCTTGGGTATAAGTTGCTAATGCATTTCATCTGCTCTTTGCCATGCTTTTTTTTTTAATTCTTTGAAAATTTCAAATATACATATACACTATATATTAATGTATGCATATATAAAATGCATTCTGGTTACTCTCTCCCTACCTTCTCTTATCTCCCTGATTCCCATCATCCTCCCTTCCTTCTCCCTACCTGTCCCTTTCCCAGATTCAGGACTTTCAAGACCCATTTAGTTTAACTAGGCGCATCTGTGTGATCATTGGATTGGGACTATCCATTGGAGCCTGGTGGGGTCACCAATGGGTAGAAAACTGAAAGTAATGAATGACTCTCCCCTCCCTCAATCTCTCTCTAGGAAATAGTTCAGCAGTGAGGGTAGGACTTTCCAAGTCCCTCCTCCATTGACACTTAGCTGTGGATGGGCCCATTCTTGGGCAGACCCAGAGCAGGCATCTGCAGTTGTTGAGAGATCCTGATTGCAATGGCTGTGTCTTGACCAGAGATGCCATGCTTCTTGATGATGACATTCAGGAAGAAATCCTTGCTACTAAAATAGGGATGTACTGACAATAATGGGTGGCTTGTTCAAGGCGAGAACCCCTGGTGTGTTGGCTGCCTTGTTTGGAACTCAGGGCTGAGGACTGACATGTGAAGCGCATCAATCGCATTCTCCCTTGACAAGCTACCACAATAAAGCAGAAGCAAGAAGAGCACTAACTACAACAGCATGTCAACAATATGGTTAAAAACCATTGGTAAAACACAGTGGGCTCTTTGCAACACTTTTTAATGAAATGTGGAAAGACACTGGGCATCGTTGCTATGACTCAGAAGTTCACTGACCTTCTCAGGGCCAAGAACTTGAATGTTGGGAAATTTAGAGATGGATTTCTTTAACACAAGGAAAAATGTTCCAAATTTGCTGGTCTCGCTGACTGTGACTATTACAAATGGGCTACATAGAGAACACACACACACACACACACACACAATCAGGTGGTATTTTTTTTTAAGATGCTATTTTAATAATGAATCATATTATGGGAAAATACTCTGAACAGTAGCATTTGGGCTGCTCTGCTATATCAGTTTAATGCCAGAATGAAATATGTCACCTTTACTCTTATGTCACAATCTGCACAGCTTAGAAGCATACTTTGTGTGTGTGTGTGTGTGTGTGTGTGTGTGTGTGTGTGTAGGCCAGAGGTCAATGTCAGGTGTCTGCTTCAATGATCCTCCACTTTATTTTTTGAGACAAGATGTTTTACTGAACCTAAAGCCTATTCATTTAGCTAGATGGCTAGCCTCAGGGACCCTCCTGCCTCCATCTCCCCAGTACTGGTATTAAAGTACATGCCACCCCCCCTGGGGTGGGGAAATCAAACTCAGGTCCTCATGCTTTCCTGGCAAGCATTTTTTCTGACTGAATCATCACCCCAGCCTGGAAGCATACTTTTAGACCCATTTTAAAATTGTATAAATGTACAATTTCAATAAAAAGTCCCATGTGCTAAAAACATTTGCAAGAATAATTGATAAAATACTCAATGAGAATGTTGACTTCATGAACAAAATAGTTTTCCTGTGGAACTTCACATTTGTAGAATTGGTAGGTGTTATTTAAACAGACTCATGACTTAAGTGCAAAGATAGAGTTCCTTTTATTGTAGGTTACATTTTAAAGGAAATTAATAACAATAGCCATTAGAACCAAGTATTGGATTAATTAAACTTACAAGCATACTTTCTAGCCTCATAAAAAATTAAACTAAGATTTAGTAAAACTATTTTAATCACATTGTTCTCACTAACTAAATTGTGAACAACTTTGAAACGGAAAAAGATGGCATACCATTCATTAAGAATAAAAGAATTTAAAATTATTCCTTGGTCTTCATCACACCCTTTAACACTTTTTAGTGTAATATATATTAGCACAATCATGTGAGTATCATTCATAAATAAGTAGAGTGTCTCAGGCTATGAGGAAGAAGGAATAAAACTTAGTGCTTGCGTAAGACAGGTCTGTGAAATTATAGGAACGGTGAAGATACATAGTGGGAACCACTAACTTGGAAAGAGACACAAGGATGGCTCCCCAATGTGGCTTAGAGAGAGGGTGCTTGGTGATGTCACTGGAGGAGACTGGAAACGGGCCGTGCTGATGCATTCAGGGCAGGCCATTAGGAGTTGGGCCTGAACTCTTTTCCATGGGCTTGGGAACCTCTGGTGACGATCTCTCTGCAGCTCTGGAGTGTTCTGGGATAATGATGAGGTTCAGAACCTGTAGATGGGCCTGGATTCTCCGAGTGGGCTATGGGAGTGATGGAGAGGGTCGGCACCCTGAGACTCCCAGAACAGCGTGATGGAAAACCAGGCCGTGGAGACTGAGAAACCAGTTACTCAAGCGTGCACAAACAACTGTGTATGTGTGTGTGTCTCACCCTCAGGCGGGTGCTAACTCTGGGCACTCTCTGATCCAGGAAGGAAGGCGTGGTCAGCCGGCTCCAATGCTGGGAAGAGGTGAATGAGAATGCCCATAAAGCTTCGCTGGCCTTGGCAACTTGGAGGTCATTCCGGACTTGGAGGGGCGGGCATAGAAACCAGACCGCAGAAGGTTGGAAAGCAAGTGTGTGTGCGTGCCGGGCGGGGCGGGAAGGTGATCCAAGGACCAGACCCACACCTGGAAGAAAACGGATGCTTGAGGGTCGGTTTAGCCACTTGGAGTAAGTGACCTGGGCAGGGGTCTAGCCCCCCAGAATCCTGCCTGCGGGAAAGTCCTGGCGGGGAGGAGACGAGGTCAAACACCTTGGGGAGCGGCGGTGCCGCGGGGAGGCACGGAGCAGGGATCCCGGTGGCATCTGACCCCGCAGAGCCCGGGTGGAGCCGGCCACGCTTCCGGCCGAGAGCCAGTGCGGCTACCGTGCCGGTGGCACTCAAGTTTCCTGCTGGCAGCGCGGCGGGGAGCGTAAGGTAGCGGCGGCCGGGGCTGCGTGGCTGGCGGCCCTCTGCGGCGCTGCGGTCGGCTTCTCTTCCCTGCGCCCAGGTAGCGCGCGATCCGGGCTGCGCAGGAGGCGCCTGCCCCTCCTGCTGGGCCTCCCGGGGCTCCCGAGGCTCCACTGGGGCCTGCTCGGGTCTCGGCTCCCCTCGCCCGGCCCTGCTGGCCTCAGTGCATCGCCGCACTCCGCGTGCGCCCTGCCCCGAGCGGCACCTGCGCTCCAGGCCCGCGCCCCACTGGGGCCCTCCGCATGGCCCTGTCCTCGGAATCCGGTGAGTGCGCGATGCTGCGCCGCTGACCTTGGGCCCGCACCCTGCGGCCCCCTCGCCGGTGTCTCCCAGGCTGGAGCTCAGGGCTCCGTATCCGAACCTCAGCAGCGGAGACCCGCCAGCTGGCCCCCAGCCCCGCCCCGCCCCACCCTGCCCCGCCCAGCCCCGCCCAGCCCTGCCCTGCCCTTGCCCTTGCCCTGTGCTTCTGCTCCTGTCCCCGAGCTGGCCTGGGCTCCAGGGGCCTCAGGTGAGCCCACAGCATTCCGTTTCTTGGCCTAGATTGGATTCGCAAGATTTAGAGAAATTAAGTAACCGGGGCTTGTCCTGAGCGCTTGGACAAGTTTCTAGGTGCCTGAGGCCCACGGGATGTGTTCGGCTGGGGCTGCAGGGGGAATGGATAGAATGACGTGGTGATGAATCGCATGAGGCCCTGTTCTTACCTCTATGGTCTTTGGGCAAGGGAGGAGCACAGTTTTGTGCTCTGGTAGGTTGGTTCCGCCCTTGAACTTCCTGCATTGCTTTGCCAGCAGAGCGGCTAATGGCTGGTCTAGGCTGACAGAGGCCGGTGATGTAAGGTTGTGAGGCCCTGGAGGAGGAGACGTTGCCTAACTCTAGAATGTCATGTCCCCAAAACTGTATATGGCTGGAGGCTTTTTGGTGACACATAAGCCAAGTGACAGGTGGCCCCACTAGGAGGGATTTCAGCCCAGTCTTGAACCTTTGTGGGCAGAGATGGGGTGTCCAACATTTGACCATCTCCAGGAAAAGCTGACTTTGGAACTCCCCTGGCAGCAAAGTATGGATGTTGAGGGACAGTGGAGCCTCTGAGCCAGGCAGACAGAGCCTCTCATGGCATCATCAACACCTCTGAGAGTGTTGACTGCAGGTTTGGGACAGTTGTCCTGTCCTGGATGAAACGACGAGTGACATCTGAATATGCTGGTAGAGCATCGTCCTTTCTAGGGATAACAGCTGTGTGGGCTGGTTGGTATAAGAGTTATTGACTTCTCAACCCTATCAGCCCAGTCTTAGAACTTCTGAAATACTGGATACAGAGTGAATAAGTTCTCAGCTATGTCAAGAAGTTCTTTGGATAAAAAAAGTTTGCTTTTCTTGGCCTTGCTCTTGCTGGATCCCTCTTCAAATGGCCTCAAAATCAATCCCAGATCTTGATAGTATTGTGGGAGATAAAATGTAGTCTTAGAGTTAAGCAGGGAGATACTCTTCTCTCTTAAAGCAGCTCAGTGGCCTGGTTCTGCTACCAAACATACTAATCTCCTATTTCTTCCACATGCCAGCTGCATTTCTAGGACAAGAGACAATGGCTTTGTCTTTTAATTTGCAGTATGAGGAACTGACTAGAGCATGGGAGGTGGGGGTGCATAGCTGCCATCCAGACTGTGCAGTCATCAAGAAGTAGCATCAACAGAGGGGGAGGGCTGTTCAGATGTGGCTTCACATTTAAATATGGCTTCCTTCTTCCTGCACCCAAGTAGGAACTTGGGAGAATACCAGGCTCACCATAGCACTTGATAAATAACATTGAATAAAAGGATCCAGTGTCTGTATGAAACTTTGCAGGAGTCTCTCCCTCTCTTCGCCGGTCATTGGCCACCGGCCCACGAGGGCAGGGAGAGCAGAAGCGGTGAACAGGGTCAGGACGGCCAGTGAGCACTGACGGAAGACAGCCCTTCCAGGGAGACTGGTCCCAGGCGCAGTGAAACAGCAGTGATACAGCTCCAGACACAGTGAAAACAGCTCCGTTTATTCAGTGGGAGAACTAGAGAATTTATAGTGTGGAGGCAGTAGCAAAAGCCTCAGTTGATAGGTGCTCATAGTATGCTTTATTTACATGTGGCAGTGGGCTCCTATCTTCCAGACTATCAGGCAATGCCTGATTATCATATAGAAAAAACCTGGGGGTAGTTTTTACTCCAGGTAACTATGCCAAAGGTCATGTTCCAGATAAGGTCAGGCATCCGTGCTTGGTGGCATTTTCCAGGTGAGCCAGGAAGAGAGCAGGAGGCCCCCTGCTGAAAAGGGGAGTCCTTCCATTTGGCACCGAGCCCCTCAGGGCTATCGGGACATGGAGAACTACAACCCTAACAGCAGGGTTTCCCAACAAAACTTCACACTTATTTTCCCAGTTGGACTCTCTTGTATCTGATATAATGATGATAAAGATAATGATGTTGACAGATAAAACCTACAAAACACATATGCTAAGCTAGGGACCAGTCTAAACACTTTATGTATGCTGACTAATTAATCATGGTAACTCATAACATTGCCCTCCTTTTATTATTTTTCTTACCCTTGTATAGGGCATAAAAGACCATGGAAAGTCTCATAATTTGCTCCAGGCCATATAAATAAGTGGTAGAACAGAACTCAAACCCAGGCAGTCCATAGGTAGATGCTATCTTTACTTAGACCATGTACTCATTCATTGTTTTATGTAAGCATTTATTCAACAGATAGTGCCTTCCATATAGTATAAACAAGACCAAGACACACTATGCTTGGAGCTGATATTTAGCAGGTGTTCAACTTCTGTCACACATCTCAAAAATGAGAAGGAAAACAGACCCCTCTAGGCAAGCCTGTGCCTTGCTCATAGAGGAGAGTGGTATGTGTCTTGATGAAACACAATTTGATTACTGCCACATAGGGACACTTAACTGATAAAGTGAATGCAGGCTGATCTCCAGGGCAGGAGATGCAGGCCCTGGGTCTGATTATCATAGATCATTCTGATGTTCATTCAGGATGGACGTGAGATTGTTGTGGGGATGGCTCATTGGGTAAAGTGCTGGTTGTGTAAGCACAAGGACCCAAGTTAAATCCCTAGAATCCACTTGAAAACCAGGTGTGGTGGTGCTCATCTCTTTAAAAAATATATTTGTTTTTATTTTTTATGTGTATGAATGTTTTGCCTGTATGTATGTAAGTGCACCAGATATGTGCAGTGCCCACAGAGGTCAGAAGAGGACATTGGATCCCCTGGAACTGGAGTTATAGACGGTTGTTAGCTGACATGTGGGTGCTGGGAACCAAATCCTGGTCCTCTGGAAGAGCAGCCAGTGCTCTTAACCACTATAGCTAGCCCCTAGTAGTGTTCATGTTTAAACCCAGTGCTGGGGGCAGAGATAGGCCAATCTTCTGGCTTTCTGAAGCAGGGAGCCTCAGGTTCAGAGAAGAGACTCTGCCTTAAAAAAATAAGGTGGAGAAGCAACTGAGGAATGCATCTCAATGTTAGTCTCTAGCCGCAACATGTGTCTACCAGGGTAAGTGGGGGCAAACGCGCACACACACATACACACACACACACATATACACGCACACATACACAAGATGAAAGTGAGGCTTTGAATGAGGGACTAGCATTCCTCAGTTCTGGGAGGCATGTGGGCCACAGGGAGCAGCAACATGCCAGGCTCACGATGAATCATGAGGTCCTGAACAGAGCTGTTCCTCCTGAGACAGAGCTGCCCCTGCTGTGGACTATGGCCCATCTCTTTGACTTTAGAAGACAGTTGGACATTGTTTCTCTCTTGTCATCAGAACATAGCTCTCTCCCTACTCCGGACCCAATGGAGTAGGCCTCATAACCCTTAGCTGTGCCCCCAGGATGGCAGCTTTTTCTAGGTTGGAAAATGAAAACAAAGTGGAGGGCGTTTCCCAGCTCCAATGCCACGGGATATTAATAGGTGTTTTTTCCTGTGGTGGCAGTGGCGGGACGATCAGTAAAGTGCTTTGAGTTAAGCAGCTTTCTTTCCTGCCGGACTTCTCATGTGCTGAATCTGCTAGTAGAAATTGTACAGGAATCCCCATAAAGGTCCATGGAGCATAGTGTTTTGCAGGCTTGCCCTTTTAGATTATAAGCACTGCACTTTGTTTAGACTAAAGCTGTCTAGAATCCCATTAAAGATAGAGAATAAAAGTACCTGAGTGTGTTGGACTTAGATCCATGGTCCAGGATGATCTAGTCACCTCCCCTAATACCATTCCTTTTCCCCAAACACCAGCAGTCAGAATCGTTCCCACCTGGTTTTGTTTTGATTTATTTATTTTTATTTTATGTGTATGAGTGTTTTGCCCACGTGTATGTAAGTGTACCTGTGTCGTGCAAAGCCCGCAGAGGCTAGAGAAAGGCATTGGATCCCCTGGAAGTGGAGTTATGGATGCTTGTTAGCTCTATGTGGGTGCTGGGAATTGAACCCAGGTCCTTTGGAAGAACAGCCAAGTGCTCTTAACTGCTGAATCATCTCACCAGTCCTCCACCTGTTTTTTGATAGAACAATTTTAAGGGCTTAGATTTTTTCTCCATGGTGTAAGCTCTTTTAATTGTTTAATAAATAAATATTGTCCTCCTTCCAGGTTGTGTGTAGCCTGCTGGCTGACTGTATTGTTTATGAAACAGCTGTGTGGACAGGTGGGTTGTAATCTCCGGGTAGCT